GTTGTCTGTCTCTAAGTGTAGCCCTGTGATAGACTGGTTACCTGTCCAGGTGAACCTGCCTTCACCCTGAGTCAGCTGGGATAGGCTCCGCCCCCCACGACCCTGGTGAGGGTTAAGCGGTGTGTAGATAGATCTCTGTGTCAGGTCAGGTTTTTATGTCAACTTGATTTTTTTTAAAATCGATTTTGCCACTAAATCGATGACATTTTTTTACGTTAGCGATTGATTTATTTTAGTATTTCTCTTATGAAAACAGATTTTAGAGGAAAAATGTCATGTTCTAATCCTTTTCATGAGCTAAACGATCCACAAGCTGATGAGCGTAAACGTCTGTAAAGGTAAATACAAGTAAACTGCATGTGGTGACAAATCACAATTTTGACCTCATTGAGCAAAACCAGTGTAATATCTGGATTCAGCACATTGCAGCTGTCCACAATCAGCCCAAAAAACTTGACACCAAAATGGGTGTAGACCAGTGTGATGGATGGACCTTTTTCCATCATTTCTGAGCCTCAGAACTTCATCAGTGCAGCAGATAGACACATGACATTTAAGAGGAAGAACACTAATGACTGCATCTGTTTCTCTATGAATACCTTTGAGCATCAATATTATGGGATGTGTCAGAGTATGAAGGACAAAGGAGTCATTGATCACCTGAAACTGTGATCAGCGGGTCGATCGATACTGAAAACAATCTTTAATCACAAGATGAGGAAAATGTTTTAGCCTCAAACAGCAGCGAGGACTTCACAGAATATTTAATATTTCAGATAGTTTCCTAACAGACTCTTATAGATGTAAATAAACTAATAAGCTATTGTGAGAAGTTCAGTTAAAGCAGAATTTATCATGTGATGCAGCAAAGAAAAGCTTTTTGAACCGTTTGATCCGTCTGCTGTAAAACACACAATAAAACTGCAAACACACTTTAAAGGAGACGTTTCTCTGAGGTACCTACCAAAGGGATCCATGAAGTTCTGTCTGATCTCATCTAATCGAGCTCAACGGCAGACGTTCATTTGGGCCCCGAGATGTTTTATTTCACACAGAACCACCGAGACTCTGAACCTGTTGTCTGGTTTGAACTGATTCATGGAACACGTGTAATAACTTCATTCATGTTTCATTTACCATCTTCTCTTTCAAACCCAGCTGGAGTCGGACTCACCCGGCTTTTGGTAGTTTGTGGTTTATCGGTTCCTTCTGAAGGTCTGAACATGCTCTGCTTGAGCTGAAGTGTTCCTGCTGTGTTAAATGTTTTCTCTGTTGTCTCCTGTTGCTCCCAGAAGCATTTCAACAGCGTTTAGCAGTAATCTGACATTATTCTGCTGCTCCAAGCAACACAAGCTCCTGAAACAGACGATGAAACCCAAATCTCACCTTTAGTTCTTCTAGAACAGCACACTTTCCTCTTCGGGTCGAAGCCGGAACATCAGCCAGAAAAGCAGTAAACTGCACTTTTAAATTTGAAAATATATTTTATTTTTGTATCTGCTATTTTAATGTCTGAAATAGATTTGAACATATTTTCCTCTGATTTAGTTTTTTCGTTTTCTTCTGATTTTGAAGTTTCTCAATGTTTTGTATTTATTTTCCATATTTTCTTTCTTTAAAACGCATATGTGTCGTGTCACAGCAATTTAATTGTTTCAATGTGTTTTTGACTTTATTGAGGCAGAATAACGATCTCTGTCTGTCATATCATTCTGTGTCGTTTACTTTGAAATATACTCATTAAATTTTCAAATTTTACTTTATTCATGTTTCCCCTTTTTAAAAAAATAGAAATTAGAAGTTTATATATATGGTGTAAATATTTCCATTTTATTTTTATCTATTAGAAATCAGTGTAATATAATTATTTTGTTGTTCTGTTTGCATTTATCAGAAGTCAGAATAAATCTAATTTATTGTAAAGAAGGTAGCATATATTTTCATTTTATTTGATTAGAAATCAGTTAATAAACTTTATTTATTTTCTCCTCAACATGTGCCACCCTGTTTTAAAAAGGACCACAAGTAGTTGGACAGCTGACTCAAAGCCATTTATGGGCAGGTGTGGGCAGTTCCTTCATTATGTCGTTAGCCGTTAAACATGTAAAAGGCCTGGAGCTGATGTGAGGCGTGGCGCCTGCATTTGGAAGATGTTGCTGTGAAGACAACATGCAGTGAAGGAGCTCTCCAGGTCAAACAATCCGTCTTTAAGCTGCGAAAACAGAAGGAACCCATAATCATTGTTACAATACTAGGAGTGGCAAAATCTCCAGTCTGGTACATCCTGAGAAAGACAGAAAGCACCGGTGAACTCGGCAACGCAAAAAGACCTGGACGTCCACGGTGGATGATCACAGTGAAGGGAACGCCCTTCACAACAGCCAGCCAAGTCAGAACCACTCTCCAGGAGGTCTTTGTCCAAGTCTACCATGAAGAGAAGACTGCATGAGAATAAGTCCAGAGGGTTCACTGCACGGTGACGCCACTCATAGGCCCATGAACAGAAAGGCTAGATTGGACATCTAAAAAAGCCAGCAGAGTTCTGGAAGAACATTGTTTGGACAGATGAAACCAAGATCAACCTGTGCCAGGATGATGGCAAGAAGAAAGTCTGGACTGGGCGTGGTACAGCCCATGCCTGGCTGCCAGTGGCACCGGGTCACTGGGCTTTATTGATGGTGTGACACAGGACAGAACCGGCTGGATGAACTCTGGGGTGGTCAGAGACATACTGTTGGCTCAAACACAGCCAAACTGTTTGGGCAGCGTTTCATAGTACAGATGGACAAAGACCCAGAACATGCAGCCAAAGCAACCCCGGACGTCACTGAAGCAAAGAAGTGGAATGACCTCGAATGACCACGTCAGTCACCTGGTCTCAACCCAGCTGAGCAGCATTTCACCTGTTAGAGACGGAACTTCAGAAGAAAGGCCCACAAACAAAGAGCAGCTGAACGCCGCTGGCCTGGCAGAGCGTTGAGGAGGAACCCCAGCGTCTGGAGGTGTCCATGAGTTCAAGGCTTCAGGCAGCCAGTGCCAGCAAAGCACTGGAAACGAACATCTGATTTTCAGTTATTTAATTGTCCAGTTACTTTTGATCCCCTGAAATGAATGCAGTCTTTTTGTTCATCCCACTGAATTAAAGCTGAAAGTCTGAATTTCAACCGCATCTGAATCGTTTCATTGAAACTCTTCATGGTTCTGCACAGAACCGCCATCAGAAAAACTCTGTCCACATGTTTATGGACCTCATCGTATAAATGGATTAAATCATCAGGAGCCAATGTCTAGTTTCAGTTATTTATTTCAGATGTATGAATGATCAGAAAATGTTTTATTTTCAGTCACTCTGATCAGTATAAATCATAATTATTGATCATGAATCGGTCAGATTCTTGTCCCTCCTCCATCAGGGCTGCGCTGAACTCCTGCCGCCAGGTGTCGCTGTGGGGCCGGGCCTCGGCTCTCAGCGGCTCAGCTGACTGTGAGTGTCCGGGTCAGAGGCGAGGCTCCAGGTTTGAAAGTGCAGACAGCCGCCGCTGGTTCTCCGGAGGAGGCGGCGGATGTCTGACGGTAAGCAGGTTACAAGTTTGAATTGTGGCCGCTTGAGTCCCGGTTCTCCAGCAGCCCAACGGTTATACGGCAGCGCTAGAGCCGGTCCGGTCCGGTTCGTGAGCTGCTGCCGCGGCACTTTAACGGCAGATTAACTCCGAACATAAACGGATTACTGTCCGACACCGAACACCTGCACAGGCAGGAGCCCGGAAGAGGAGCTGAGAGCCGGCAGGCAGCAGAGCGAGGCGCCGCTGGAAGGAAGCGGTCAGATAGCACCCGGCTAACAGTGCTAATACACAGCTAGCACACTGCTAATAGTGCTAATACACAGCTAGAACCCTGCTAACAGTGCTAATACACAGCTAGCACACTGCTAACAGTGCTAATACACAGCTAGCGCCCTGCTAATAGTGCTAATACACAGCTAGCACCCTGCTAACAGTGCTAATACACAGCTAGCACACTGCTAACAGTGCTAATACACAGCTAGCGCCCTGCTAATAGTGCTAATACACAACTAGCACACTGCTAATAGAGCTAACCCTGCTAATGCTAATATACAACTAACACACAACAGTCCAGTTAAAACCTGCAGACATGGAAACATCTGGCAGAAATGGTAAACATGTGGATCAGCGTTTCCTTGAATGTCTGGTTCTGTCTGAAGATGATCAGGTTCCTGTCAGAGGAAAGAAACCAGAAGATGTTCAGTGGAGAAGCTGCAGCCAGAGTTCAGACTGTTGTTAGAACAGAGTGACTGATGGACGGATCATCAGAGGACACAGTCAGGACGAAAACAAAAACCAAACAGTGACGGCTGTCGGCGTTCCAGCTGTGTGACACCACCGTGGGTTTAAACTGAAAACTTCCAGATGTGCTTCAAGGTCAGACGTTCAACTTTAGTTTGAGGCTGCTGACATCCTCGTCAGCTGGACGGTGGAGGAACTTCAGCTCGTGGTTGGTGAGCCCTCCACCCTCCTGCTGCAGAGGAAACGACGTTTTATTTCTGCAGCAGAAACATTTTGAACTCTGAAAAAACAGACGCTGGCTGGTGGTTACGTCCAAATAAAATACTCAGTGTCTGAGTCCTCCTCGTATTTATGAAATAAAAAGCTGATCTTCAATCCTCCACCTGCAGCAAAGTGAGCCAGCGTTAGCGGTCCTGCTGCCTGCAGCTGGACTGCTGACCAGACTGCTGACTGCCTGTGAGCTCTTTGGGACGGAGGAGCTCACGGCAGCACCGTTGCTTGCTGAGGACAGCAACGGCACAATGATACCAGTTTTCACCTCAGAGTCTCCAAAACACCAGAAAGCATCGCTGGATTGGTCACTCGTCGCTTTTGACAGAAAAAAGTCACCAAGAGGATTTGGAAAGTCGCCAGATTTAGCCAGAAAGTCACCGAGTTGGCAACGCTGTGTGGCCGGCTGGTGTGACGCATATTTTGAGCGAAAAAAATTAAATGCATTTTTTTTAATGTTATCAGATCACCATAACCTTCACATCTAAATTACATTTCAAGAACTTAACAAAATAAAATAAATTTAGATTAAAATATTTGCCAAAGCCACAATGAGCCACAGCAGAGGGATGAAAGGGCCTCATGCGGCCCCGGAGCCGCGGGTTGACCACCCCCCACATTGCTTCGATAGTTTCTTAAGTGTCACTTTATGGAGGAAAATATACAAGATGCTACCTGCAGCAGGTATGAACCAAAGTCAACACACAGGAAAAGAGCTGGACAGCATAACAATGACACAAGACTCCATGAAACCATCAAGACACACATTGTTCCTCGTGTGTGTAGACACACCTTCAAACACCAAATCACACCTCAGATAAAACATAACGATTTGGCCTCGACATCGAAAAACAGGAAGCGAGTTAAAGTGTCAAGATCAGACAGCAGCATTGTTTGGCAAAGGCCCCACTCTTTCCTCGTTCTATGAATGGTGTACTCAACAAGAGAGTTAGGTTTTAACGAAGTACACTGNAAGTGTAGCCCTGTGATAGACTGGTTACCTGTCCAGGTGAACCTGCCTTCACCCTGAGTCAGCTGGGATAGGCTCCGCCCCCCATGACCCTGGTGAGGATTAAGGTGTAGAGATGATGGTTGGATGTCTATCAGCTAAAATCTATTAGTCAATCAATATCTGAAGTGCACTAAAGGAAAGTGATCAAGTATCAATCAATAAAACTGTTTCACCTTCTGGACTGTTTCTGGTTCATGTTTCACTAAAGTCCTGCAGCTCTGTGGAACCAGAACCACATGAAGGAGGAGAGAGACCTCAGAGACGTCTTCTGGCAGCACTTCAGACAGGACACTGTCAGATGTACCCGTTTATTTGGACCACAGGCATTGAGTTTGGCGGTGACTCTGCTGAGTGATGCTCTGGAACAATCTGAGCAAACATGACACAGACAGTCCCAGAGATCACAACCCCGGCAGAGCTTAGATTCACAGTATTCAAATAAATACAGCATAAACACGAGAACAAGGAGACCAGCTAAATGGTGCTCACGTTACAGAACCCACATTACGTAGCTCCAAGGTACAATAATGAACCATCTGCATCCTGCAGTCCCACGACATGGGAACAGCCGTGTTCTTCAGTTCAATTCAATGTTCAGCTCCATGTTATTTGTGTAGCGCTGTCATCACACAGCCACAACGTGGTCAGGTGTGGACCTCACAGGTTTAACAGAACCACTGGACAGAACGGCCCGGTGACGCCCTGATCCTGTCTGAACCAACCCATCAGCTCTGTGACTCGGATAGAACGATGGAGAGCAGAACAAAGGAACGTGTCTTTGGTTGTTGGACCTAACAAGGTTCCACAGATGTTCCCAACACCAGAACCACGGACGGCAGAGATGAAAGTGTTTCCATGTTTACAGACGCTGAGACAGTTTGTCTCCTTCCTGTTGTTTTGTGTCGTGTTGTGTGTCAGCATCGTGTCCTGCCCTCTGAGCTGCATTTGACGTTAATGTGGGGGAGGGACAGCGTTCAGGTAGAAACCAGGATGGTGTCGTGAAAACACCTGAGCAGCTTTCTGATCTGCAGCTGTGAGACTCATGAAGCAGTAAAGAGAAACGTAGAACTCACAGCTGACCTGTGGACATGTGACCTGTGGACATGTGACCTGTGGACATGTGACCTGTGTGTCTGAACATCAGACGGAGGCGACTCTGAAAGACCTTTAAATGAGAACAAACAGATCTGAGGCCGATTGTCAGCAGCTGTTTGAACTCTTGTGTTCACATTGTGTTGGTTTTGTTTGCACAGTATGTAACACACACACACACAGACACACACACACACACACACACAGACACACACACACAGGTGTTAGCATAAAGCTCTGCAGGTATTCAGAGGTTCAGAGAAGTCGTGCTGGAGCAGAGCACGATGAAAAGGAAAGATCGTAACAGTTTAATCCAAAGTCTGAGTGATGTTCACCCTGAAGGTTCTGGAGGACGTTCTGAGCAGAACTGTCCGGTTACAGTGCAGTAAACCAGCAGAACGTCTCCATGGTAGAGGCAGACAGACGGCAGGTTCCACAGCTTTGTCCTTCTGACTAGTTCAAGAGAATCTGTGGCAACAGTTTTAAGCTCAGTCTGAACAAACTGGTCCAGACTTGTTCCACATCAGAACACTCTGGTCGTGGTTTTGTGTCGTTGTGTGATCGTTTTACACACGGCAACGTAATCTGGCTTCTTAGGTGGCTTTCACACCTAAAGCATTTAGTCCGCATAAAGCGGACTGGAGTCCAGAACACCTGCAAAAATGGTTCACTTGCCCTGGTGTGAAAGGGGACCAGTTTTTTTTAGTCCG